CGACGATCAGCGTGCTGCAACCGGGCGACGTGATCGTTACCGGCACGCCCGAGGGCATCGGATGTCGCCGGGAGCCGCCGTTGTGGATGAAGCCGGGAGATCTAATCGAGGTCGAAATCTCGAGGATCGGCACGCTGCGCAACGGGGTTGTCGACGAAACGTGAGCGCCGGCGGGAGGACCGCCGGCACCCTGTCTTATTTGGCGACGTAGACGTTGAGGATCGTTGTCGTGCCGGCTTCGACGCTCTTGATCGCGTCCCGGACGGCACGTTCGAGGCCTGCCGGATCGGACACGGCGATGCCTTTGAAGCCGAAGGGCTCGGCAAAAGCTTCGAGTGGAGGCTGATCGCCAAGGTCGACGCCATGGAACATCTTCTGCTCGACGGAATCGCCATCCGGGTAGAACCGCAGATGGTTGTATTTCATCGACAGATATTGCCTGTTGTTGAAGACCACCATGAGGATGGGCAAACCGTTCTGCTTTGACGCTTGCAGAGCCTGGACGATGGGGTTGTAGAGAAACGAGCCATCACCCACGGTGAGAACAGTGAATGTATCGGGGGCGGCCAGCTTGCCGCCAAGCGCAACGCCTATTCCCTGGCCCAACCCCCCTTGCACATAGAAGTAGCTCGAGGCGCGGCTTGGGCGGATGTGTTGCTGTACGACACGAGCGTGAGTGATCGTCTCATCGAAGATGCGATAATCTTCAGGCAAATGCTTTCGCAGGGTCGTTGCAAGCGTCACCGCGTCGATGGCATCGGCCTTAGCCCGTGCAGCGGACTCCGCGTCCAGCCGTTTTTCACGTTGGTCCAAGTGCTGTTTTTCCACGACCGCGCGGCGTTCCGGACTACCGTTTGCCAGTTTGGCAGCTTCGCGCAACGTATGGGGCACATTGCCGGTCGCATAGCGGTCAGCGTGCAGCACCTGATAGACCATTTGGGGCCGCTGCGGAACATCGTCGACCACAACCACTCGGGCATTGGGAAACGTATTGGACGGTGGGTACCAGGGAGATCGGCAATTGACCAACACGATAAGGTCGGTCTTACCGCGCATGCCATCGACATTACCGCCCAGATAGAGCGGATTGTCTTTCGGGAAATTGGCGCAGGTCGCCGACTGCGGCTCGAATACGGGTGTGTCGAAAGCCTCTGCGAATGCTACCAGCGCATCATAGCCGCCCTGCTGCCGTCCCACGGACTCGGTTATGATAATTGGGTGGGAAGCGGCGTTGATCTCCTCAGCCAGTGCTGAAATATCGGAAGGGCCGGCATAGCTTGTTCCGGGAGTAGCGACAGCCTTGGCGTTGGCGGGTTTTCCCCATGGCTCAAGCAGCACTTCGACGGGGCAATTGAGATAAACCGGCCCGGAGGGCGTGCGCTGCGCGATCTCGCCAGCTCGCTTTGTAAATTCATAAAGTGTTTCGATGCCGGGGATTTGGCAGGACCATTTAACGATCCGGTCGACAACAGAATGTGGTCCGCCAACGATTGAGAGATTTCGATACCATTGCGAGCCCGGATCGACGTCTTTTCGGTCGCCATAGGAGTTGGCTTCGGAAGAAAATACCAGCATCGGCACGTCAGCCAGGAGAGCGCCATGGATGCCGTTGGCGCCCTGCAGTAGACCGGGGGTGGCGTGGAGCAGAACGGCCTGCATCCGTCCGCTGACAAGCGTGTAGCCGATGGCCATATCTACAGCGAGGGTTTCGTGCATGAAATCGAGATAGACGGGGCCAGGTGACTGCGAAATTTTCTGCCGAGTCACGGCCTCCCACAGGGGTGCCCATTCCGATCCTGACGAACAGAAGATGTAGTCGATATCCAAAGCGCGGAAAGATTCCAGAAGCGCTTCGCCGCCGTCAGAATAGTGTGCCATGTTTGATCCGCCCCGGGGCCTTTCTTGATCTTGAAATCGAAATAGGAGCGGGAGGCAAGCCGCCCGCTCCTCCCGTTTGCCGGTTCAATACTTCCAGCCGATCGTGTCGCACAGACCCTTGCCCATGATCTGTTCCAGTTCGGCTTCAACAAAGCCCATATGCTTTGTGAAATGCTCGACCGTCTGCTTGTAGGTGATGTGCTTGGTGTCTGTAATCCGGGTCATGTCGGTGCCCCAGAAACAGCGATTAGCGCCCATCTTGGCGACGCAGCTTTTCACGTACTGCGTGATGTTGTCGTAAGGGTAGGGGTGGGTCGAATAGCCCGGAACTGCAGACACTTTGACATAGACGTTGGGGTGTACGTGCAGGTCGGCTGTTTCGTCGACCCAGTATCCGATGGCATCGTCGACGGAGCGGGCCAGGATACCCATGTGATCGACGATAATCTTAAGGCCAGGATGACGGGCTGCGATCTGGCCGAGTTCAGCCTTCCAGATCGGAGCATGCACCATGATCGGGATATCGAGCTTTTCCGCAAGCGGCCAGATCCAGTCGCAGGTGC